TTCTTTTTAGCCCACTGTCACCTCTAGCTGAGGAGTACTGAGAATGTCTGAAGGTACATAGAGGATGCTCCACTGAAGAGGAGCACAGAGAATGTCCAGGAAGGTGGAGGTGACTCTTTCCAAAGCTCTTTCCTGTGGACTGGCCCAATGCCCTGAGGTAGGAGTGGCTGGCTCCATTTCATGCATGCCCCAAGGGAACACAGAGTCATTACCAAATGAGTAGGTGTGCGATCTCCACGTTACCTGGAGCTGTGCTCCGATTCTTAGGCATCTCTGCATAATACATTGACAATGAATCAGGTGACAGCCCTGCTGCCTGAGGCATCTTTCCTCAGCGGAGGAAAGATGCCTCAGGACCTTGTTGGGTAGGGTGGCTGGCTAGTCATTCTGGCCTATCCTTCCCTTCCTCCTTTCCCTTGCATGCAGCTGGCAGATAAACAGCCTTGAACTTGAAGTTCTTTAGCTGCTAGGGAGCAGGGTGAGAGGATCAGTAGTGAGTGCAGACAATTACATAAGACAGCAGAGTGAGCCTCTGGAAGAGCGCTGTCAGAGAGATGCAGCCCACCCGCCTCCAACAGCAGCATGACACGTTCACCCTTCTTGTTATGAGCAGAGATCAGAGACTTCTAAACAGGTGTGTCACTTTATTTTCATTTTACTTTTTTCAAGTAGCAGGAGAACAGCCAGTTAATTTGCATGATCTCTAGTGCTTCTTCTCCAACTAAGCCAGACATAGATACATGTTTAAGTGGTTGTCATGGAAACCAGAGTGCATCGCTCTCCTCCAAGGTCTGAAGCAAGGATGATGAAAAGTTTAAATAATCACCATGGAAACCAGAGCAGATTCAAGGCAGGTTCAGATCTCCAGCACACTAATGTGAAGCAGGTAAATCTTCAGCGAATGGGGTCCTGGTGGAAGGCTAATTCTGAGTATCTCCTGTGGCTCTTGGAATCAGGATGTACTTAGTCACCCTCTCCACAGTCATAAGAGTTCCATGGCATTGGCAGAAAGGTAGTTGTGTTCAGAATTTCACTCTTTCTGATTCAGGCTGGATTTGAGGATCTTGCCCATCCTTCTCTATATTGTATCTTTTGTCAACCACCTTTCTCAGTATGTCAAAAGCCCATGGATCTACAGACACAAAGTCAAACTTTGTGCTTTATTGCAGAAAGCAAGACAGTCAAGGCAAATTCATGTCTTAAATAAACAAAAGCACTGGACAGTATTTTTTAATTCCAGAACTCTTTAGACAGCTGTTGGTTTCTTTGGTTACAATCCCGCCCCCCTACAGGCAAGTCTATTTGGAAATGAGTGGCTGATCATTAATCAAGTTTTGAAGCTCAGGAGTCCATAAAGGAAGAGACAGAAGATGCTATGGAAGGGTTCCTGCCCAAAGTGAGATGGATGATTTCAGATAAATCTTTTTTAAAAAATAATTTATTGAGAAAGAAATGACAATGAGACCATTTCAAAGTAGGTCACTAGGACAGTTAGAATAATTAACACATTGCATATTGTTGTCTTCATAGTAATTATTCATAGTACAAGATGCAGACATGATGTCTTGTCTAACACTATTAGTACAAATCTTTCTTCTCATTGAACTAAGAGAAAGTAGCTATATATCTAACCTAACTAATTTGTATATCCAGATGTGTATATATATTTCACTACAAAATGGTCCTTTATTTACATCCTCCTTTTTTGTTTAGTTTTGTTCAAGATAGGTATTCCATTGCCATTCCAATATTGTAGGTGTGTGAATTCAGCAAAGTAATCCAATATAGTCCAGTAGACCATAATAGTAGTGGGTTATCCACAGGACTGGCAATGTCAGAAGTTGTTCACTTGAGACATAATTTTATTGAGAAAAATAAAAATCTTGGGCCTGGGGGAAATCACCTCTTTGTTTTCTGATGTAGTTATAACTCTGGTAGCCTCTTAGGGATGAGGACTCAGGCTAGGACACAGAGTGGATAACACCTGACTGTAGCAGCCACATGAGCATGAGGAACTATGAGGACATGCTGGGACCAGTACTGAGATGGACACAGGACAAAGACATTTGACAAGCTGGTCACTACAGTGTTCTGGTTCTCCTGGATTGTGATACTTCAGAGCACTACTTGTGACTGTGATAGATATGAGTCTGAGTGCTGATGTCACAGATACATTTACTCAGTTATTTGTTGAGCACCTATTAGTGTCATATAAGCACATGAAGCTATAACAGTAAATAAAGCAAGACAAGAATCCCTAACACAAAGGAAAGATAGCCATGATTTATTTATTTTTATGCTTTTTATTTATTTTTATATTTTTAGGGAAGGGTCAACAGGGTGCTCAGGGTCTCACTACTAGATCAGACTCATAGTGATCTACCTGTTTATAGCCTCCCAAGAGCTGGGATTATAGGCGTCTGCCATCACACCCAGTCTCAATGGCCATTGCAGTAAGTCCCGGGGTGGGGCCAGCATGACAGGCCTGGGGATCGAAACCCTGGCCCCTGTGCCTGCTTGCAGACACTTTTATCTGCTGAGCTATTTGGCAGGCCCTGTAGTGCATGGATTTAGACAAGGGAAGAAAAAGCATGGAAGACCGAGAAGGTCAGAAGCAGGGAAATAGCTCCAATAAATAATAAAGTAGGTAGGGTGAAAGGTGAGAAGAGACATTTGGATAGACTTGCAAAAGCTGAGGAAGTAAGCTCTGAGGACATTTGTGGAAAACCTTCCAGGCAGAGAATGCCAGCAAAAGCCCTCAAATATGTAAAAGGAGATTGGTGTGACCAGAAAAGACTGAATGAGGGAGGAAAGTAAGAGATGAGGCCAGAGAGGTAAAGGTGAATCACACAGGATGCTTGGTGGGTTTTACATCTTAATAAAGTTCTGCTTATCACTGCAACAGGTCAGTATGGCACCTACCCCTATAGACCCAGCCCTTTTTCCCCTTGGTCACCAATTACCCTCTGCCCTCACACGATATCCAGTTCCATTGTTTCTGCCAGTTGAACTAATTACTGCTTTCCACACTGATGTAAATGGCATGACCCGCCAGTCCTGATCCACCAAGCAAGCAGACCACTACCTAAACTCCTCCATGGCTTAAGTCTATATTAGTCACACTCCTTCCACTAGCTCCTCAGGAGTGCCACACTTTCTCCCCTTTTTATGATCTTCTCCAATCTCACAATGAAGGCATTTTTTAAGGAGAGTCACATGGAGAGAAAACATCCTCTCAGGCTTTCACAGAGAGCAAATTGGTCAAGCAATGGCTGTGACTCATCCATAAGGCTGACACTGACAAAAGATCTACAAAGTGCAGTACAGGGCTACAGGATAAATCCTGAGGGTACTTGACTGACCCTGTCAGATACACAAGTTACATTTCTTGTTATATAGGTCTTGCTTTATCTTGGTCTTAACCATCCAGCAGAAAAGTATAAAAATGAGGTATAAAAAGTAAAGCCATATTAATATGCTGAGCTGTAAAAGGCTCAAGTCAACAACTTCTGATATTGCCGATTCTGCAGATAACCCACTACTATTTCGAATTGCTGGACTATATTAGATTACTCTGCTGAACTCATGCACCTACAATATATATATATATATGGCAATGGAATATCCATCTCTGAAATAAACAAAAAAAGGAGGATATAAATGTAGGACCATTTTGTAGTGAAAAATATATATATGTATCTGTATATAATACAAAATAGTTAGCATAGCTATACAGCTACTTTCTCTTAGTTCAATGAGAAGAAAGTTTTGAGCTAATAGTGTTTAGATAAGATATCATGTCTGCATCTTGTACTATGAATAATTACTATGAAGACAACAATATGTAATGTATTAATTATTG